TGGATGTGGGGGTGCTGGGATGGATGTAGGGGTGCTGGAATGGATGTAGGGGTGCTGAGATGGATGTGGAGGTGCTGGGATGGATGTAGGGGTGCTGGGATGGATGTGGGGCTGCTGAGATGGATGTGGGGCTGCTGGGATGGATGTGGGGCTGCTGGGATGGATGTGGAGGTGCTGGGATGGATGTGGGGGTGGTGGGATGGATGTAGGGGTGCTGAGATGGATGTGGGAGTGCTGGGATGGATGCAGGGGTGCTGGGATGGATGTGGGGCTGCTTGGATGGATGTGGGAGTGCTGGGATGGATGTGGGAGTGCTGGGATCAATGCAAGGGTGCTGGGATGGATGTAGGGGTGCTGGGATGGATGTAGGGGTGCTGAGATGGATGCAGGGGTGCTGGGATGGATGTGGAGGTGCTGGGATGGATGTAGGGGTGCTGGGATGGATGCGGGGGTGCTGGGATGGATGTGGAGGTGCTGGGATGGATGCGGGGGTGCTGGGATGGATGTAGAGGTGCTGGGATGGATGTGGGAGTGCTGGGATGGATGCGGGGGTGCTGGGATGGACTTGGGGGTGCCAGAATGCTGGAGCACAGGGTTTCATGGGCGCTGGGTTACAGGGGTGCTGCCAGGGTGGCGGGGGTGTCGTGGTGCCACCCGCGTCCCCATTGCCTGCTCCAGGTGTGGTTCCAGAACCGGCGGGCCAAGGAGAAGCGGCTGAAGAAGGACGCGGGGCGGCATCGCTGGGGGCAGTTCTACAAGAGCGTGAAGAGGAGCCGCGGGGGAGGGAAGCTGGAGAAGGAGAGCTCGGCCGAGGATTGCGGCATCAGCGACAGCGAGCTCAGCTTCCGCGGTGAGCGCGGCGCCCGAGCGGGGCCGGGGGGCCGCGGGGCTCCCCCCGCCGCTGACCCCCCGCCTCCGCTCTCCCTCCTGTCCCCGGCAGAAGAGCAGATCCTCTCCGAGCTCGGCCACAACAACAGGGTGTACGGCTCCGTGGGGGACGTGGCGGGCGGACAATTGCTGAACGGCGGCTTCTCCATGGAGGGCACGGGACAGACGTACCAGGACTTGCGGGACGGCAGCCCCTACGGCCTCCCGCAGTCGCCCTCCTCCATCTCGTCCCTGCCGGCCCATCCGCCCTTGCTCAACGGGCTGGACTACGCCATGGACGGCAGCCTGGGGCTGGTGGCCCACGGGGCGCAGGGGGTGAGTCAGACGCTGCGGGCCATGGCCGGGGGGGGCCCCACCTCCGACATCTCCACGGGGAGCAGCGTCGGGTACCCAGACTTTCCCACCAGCCCGGCCTCCTGGCTGGACGACATGGATCACCCCCCTTTCTAAGCGCTGCTCGCCCCCCGCCCCGGCCCCCCCCGCGCTCCCCCCGGCCCGCAAGAGCAGCACTGAGGGCGCCCGCCGGCCGCTGACCTTTCCAGGATTTTCCCGAGGGAATTGGCCCTGGAGGGCTGGAGGGGTGGGGGGACAGCAGCGGCGGTGCTGGGGTGGCTGTGCTCGGGCGGGGGGCACGGATGCCTTCGGGTGTAAGCACAAGAGAGGCGGCGGCTCACGGGGACCCCGGCGGGAGGGCAAGAAGGACAATCAGGGGTGGCAGAGTCCATCCCGCACCCCCCCCTGCCGAGCACCGCTGCTATTTTCAAGAGTTATTTTTCCATATGGTGTTGAAACGCAACTCGGCGCTGCCCGGAGGCTCCGCGGAAAGAGAAGTCTATATTGTAGAAGGGTTTATTTTGCCGGGAACACGTCCGGGGCAGGGCCATTTGCGGGAGCTGCCTGCTCCTGGCCTAGTGGCCGTGATTTATCCCTGGGCACGCAGGAGCATCGCTGCTTTGTACCGTGGTCACGCGAGGGGAAGGAATTTTAAAAAAATTGCCTCCGGCCCGGGATGCCCGGGGCTGGCACCTGCAGGGCAGCCACGGGAGAGGTGGGTGAGAGCAGCCTTTGCTCTGAGGGAGGCGCAAAAAAATCCCTCTCAAATAGGGGGAAGGGAATTTCGTCAGCCGCAGAAGCACCAGCGTGGTGGGAAGGGGAGGCGACCGGGGCGTGAGATGCTCCTGGCATGGGTTCCCCTCCTGCTTTGGTGCCGCGGCTCTGATGGTACCGAAGGGTGAGTGCAGGCGGCCAGGAAGGATCGCGGTGGCTTTGGCACATGCCACAAGGCCCATGGGGTCTGCTGCTGGCCAGGCTCACTCAGCACTAGCCCTTGCTCAAAACCCACATGCCCATCTCCCCCAGCACAGCCACACCCCTACCCTCAGGCATTCAGCCCCATGGATGAGATCCAGCTCCACACTCTCTGCCCGGGGTGCCCAGCTCTGCCCCAGCCCCACAGGGAAGCCCTGCCATCCTCTCTGTCTCTGGGGTGATGCTGATCCTTCAGGGAGGGCTGGGGGTGGATCCAGTTAGTCAGCTCCTTCCAGAGGTGTGGAAGCTCCAGAAGCAGAGATAAAAAAAAAAAGAATAAAAATTAAAAATTAAAAAAAAAAAAAAGCCACACGAGAAAGCACATCACTGGTCTGTCCTTGTCCTTCCTTGCCCCCCCTGCCCCCCAGCTGGGTGCCTTGGTGCTGCAGGAGCTGCCGCAGCTGCATCCATGTGCCTCTCCCCTCCCCAGCCTTGGGTGCTGCTCTGTGCCAAGCTCCCGGCCTTGCCGGTGCTGGTGGGGAGGGGGACGGGGGAGAGCTGTGCCTGCTGCTCTCCATCCCCCCTCGACAAGGCCAAATGCCTCCTCCCCTCGCTGTGTAAATTTTGTACAGTTCCAGAAAGTGAGAGTCTTGTTTCCTGGGGGAATAAAAAGGAAAACAAAATAAAACCCAACAAATAATAATAATAATAATGATAATAATAATAAATTTTAAAGAATTATTTATTGCCATGTCTCGGGGAGAAATGATCTCCCCAAATTGCCCCTGGATTTGGGCTTAGGGCGTTGCTTTTGTACCCTGCCTCTGGTGTGTTGGCATGAGATGTGTACAGTCACCCCCTCTGCCGCGAGGGAAAGCGATGGCAAATAAACTCGGGATGCTCTTTAGCAGCTGCTGTCTTTGAGATTTTCTTCCTCAGTGGGAGGGCAGTGGGTCACCACTGGCATCGCCTGCTCCGGCACCGCTGGATTTTTGGGGTCAGGATTCCCTGGATGGTGGAACTGCCGTCCCTGGCTGATGGAACAAGTGCCACCGGTCGTGGTGCCCTGGCTTCCTGCTGGCACCCAGAGGTTTGGGGTGGGGATGTCCGTGGCTGGCACCCTGAAGTGGCACAGCTTTCCTGCCACCACGCAGGGACAGCCTGGCTGTGCCACCACAGGTGAGATGGAAGGGCCATGCCAGGCAGGAGGGGCGAGTCCAAGCCCCTCCGTGGGCACCGGTGTGTTGGCTTTCTGTATTTTAATCATTTTAACATTTAATGCTTCTCAATTAAAGTGATTTCCTGGAGTAGATGCCAAGCTTAGGGCGAATGCACATTAACCACTTTCTGTATCAGTAGTTAAAGGCACCGAGGGATTTAACAGCAATCCGCAAGGCTGCTGGGGAAAGGTTTGGCTGAATAAAGCAGATTATAAACAATAATATATGTCTTTCTCTCCTCCCGCCCCCCACCCCCGCTTTCTTTTTTTTTTTTGGAAAAGCTCCAACCTCACAAACAGACCTAAAGTGCTATAAACATCTCAGGGCTGAGCGCTCAGGCCCCAAATGTGCTCTCTGAAAGCACCGGCACCGCGGCTGCTGCTTTTCATCCCGGCTTTAACGGGGATTTCTTTATTACCCAGCGTGTCCATCAAGCCAGGCAGTGGCTGTGCATTACAGCCCTGCACAGGGGTGGCCTTGCTTGTCCCCAACCTTGGTGCCACCGTGTCTCCCTCACAAAGTCGACTGCAATATTGGGGTTGGCATCTTTGCTTCATCTGAATCCAGATGTAAAAGCGCCAGGCTGTGATGAGCCCGGCCACTGCCAGCCTGCAGCTGCCCTGCGCAGGAGCAGGGGGAGCAGAAGCCACTGGGGGAGTCTTACTTAATACTAAGTTAATGGAAAATAACCTGTCCAAGCTGTTTTGTCCCCAGCACAGAGCCTGGCCTGTGCTGTGTGTGGTTTAGTGGCCGCTGGAGCCAGCGCAGTGACTTTGTCAGCGTCAGCGAATGCTGGCAGGAGCCACAGACACTGTGAGGGGCCAAAACCCACGTGTGCCTGCTGCCCAGCCAGTTAGCCAAGGGAATGTTCCCATTTATTCTCCTGAGGCTGGATGTGCTGCAGAACCTGATGGCAAGCAGCTTCCTGTCACAGCCATGGAGATTTCCTCTGCTCCCCCCAGGCTGTAAATCTCATCTGGGTAAAGCAAACTCGTGGCAATATCCTGCAGGGCAGCCACAGTCTCCTCTGGCCACCCAGTGCAGCAGCCTCCCTTGCAGCTTGGAGCTATCCCACGGCACAAACCCACCCCTGGCAGCTCCCGTGGGCACAGCTGGGATGCTGAAAAGGAAACACTAAACCCCCATGATCATCCCACATCACTCCAGCACTCGGGCATGGATGGCCACGAGGCACATTTTTCCCCCCTTTCTGGGTACTTGGCCAGCTGAGAAGATCATGAAGTGTCTGAGCCAGACCCAGAGGGGTGACAGGGTGGGTGCAGGTTTATCTGTGCTCAGCTGAGCCCTGAAGGAGCCGCTCCAGGGATGGACACACAGCGGGAGGCCCTGGAGCCGCTGACAGAGGTGGGGTTTAAAGCCATTTGATTCAGCAAAGAGGTAAAAGTCCTGTCAGCTTGGAGAGGCCGATTAGCAGCACGTGTTGTGTGAGAAGCAGAGGGACAGACAGACACCTGTATGACCCTGCTGTCTTTGCAGCTCTCCCTCCCCAGGACAAGAGCTCAAGCAGAACTTCCCAAGCCTTATGGCTGCACTGAGCTGCCTCCCATTCTCATGGCTTCCAAATCACCCCCTGCAAAAAAACCCCCAAAAACCCCAAAACTCAAACAAACACACTGAGGCTCAATCCCAACACTGTGCTTTTATTTATATTATTTGTTTGGACCCAGGGGGGGGAAAAAAAAACCAACCCAACCAAAATTCAACCTGAATGGGAGAGATGAGCATCTCACCTGGCCCTGCATCCCCATGGAGGAGCTGACTGGTCAGCCCATGCTGCTCTGGTGAGACAGCCCATACAGTACTCGTGTTTGAAACCTTAAAATAATACCTGGCGCCTCTTCCAGGCCCTCTCCCCTCTCCCCCTCCCCGCCAAATACTGATAAACGTCAGAGCACGCCAAACTCTGATGCCATCCTGCTCAGGGTTGCGCTTGGCCCTCGTGCTGGAGAGCCCAACCAGACCCTGTGCTTTGAAAGGTCCCCTCGAAGCCCCGGGGTGTTTGGGGAGGGCAGCAGGGAGGGGAGGGGGATAGAGGTGTTATTGCAGAGCCTCTCTGTGCCCCGGGGACTCAGGGCTCGCCGGTGCCGTGCTGCTGCAGAGCCGAAGTGATGGCTTTGGAGTCCGTCACCTCCTCGGGCAGGCAGCCCTCCTGGTCCCGCAGCCTGGGGTCGGCTCCCGACTGCAGCAGCAGCTCCACGATGTCCAAAAACTCGCAGGTGGCAGCTGTGGGGGAGAAAGGGAAGGGTTAGTGTGGCGATGCTGGCCCCAGGAGGCGGTGACGGGCGGGTTTGGAGCGGTGGCTGTCGCTGGCCCGAGGCAGCATCGCTGGGACAGCGCTCGGGACACACCGGATCGCTTTGGATTTAATAGTGCCAAGGAAGGAGAAAAGACAGAGTGACAGCAATGCAAAGCCAGAAGTCCTGAGGGGGTGCCACTGGTGCAACCAGAGCCCGCAGCCCAGTCAGAGGCGCTGGGAGGGATCTGCAGGGACACAGAGGGACCTGGGACACAGAGGGAGCCTGGAAACAGCTTGGCTAAGGTTTCTTCACGTCCAGGACTGGAGACTGACCCTGGGAAGGGCCCCAGAGTGCTACTGCAGCACTGCAGGGACTCCCAAAACGCCACCTGGGAAAGCATTCCCTGCCTGCTTTTGTACCTGGGATTTGTAATGTGTTCACCATCTATGATGGATCTGTGAGCCTTTGCCCCTCACCTGCCCCCTGAATCTCCCAGGGAGCAGGCAGCACATCCCAGGCACTACAGCTTCAGTGCTCCTGACTTTTGTCCATTGCTTCTCTTTGGACAAAATTCAGATGGTTTATAGCTGCTGGCCACCACTTCCTCCAGCACCAGCTCCAGGTGACTGTGCCCATGGCCTGGACAGGGCACACATTTTATTCCTCACACCTCTACTAGGAACTGTTTTTGCATGCCTCATTTCCTCTGCCAAGATAGAGTCAGGCTTGACCTGAGCTCTTCTCAGTCCTAGGATGTCTTACCTAAGGATGCTAAAAAATAGAGCCAGGAAAATCAGGAAAACTCTTAATGCTGGACTTGGCTGACAGCGGCAGAAGTCCCAGATCCTGGATTTTCCCTTCAGCCTCTGCAACTCAGACCCTAGTGAAGCCAAAACCTGCTTTACAAGGCCATGAAGCTGGCAGCTTCCTCTTGCGTTGGTAGCAATTGGTTTTATTCATATTTTGGGTGTTTTTATAAAGCAACCGACCGACTCCTTTAGTGATTAAGTGTCTTTTGCATTACTCTGCAGTCTTCTACTGATCCAAAAGGATAAGCAGTAATGTCTCATTAAAATAAATTCAGTGTGTGATTGGAGTTTATATTGAAAAGATAAAAAAAGGGGTCAAAAAGGGGAAACAGGTTGGTGAGGAAGCAGGTGGGGGTGTGGGTGAGGCTGAGCTGAAGTGGGGCACGTCCCTCTGAAGAAAATAGATTTCCAGAGGTGCCAAAGAGGGTATGGTGGCAGCTTCTAGGGATGGGGAGCTGGTCCCCACAGGGAAAGGTGGCTTACTCCTCTGGTGCTGTGTCCTTGAGCAGGCTGGGGACATCCCTGGGGACGAGCACAGCTGCTGGATTTATCACACCCTGGGACCCTCGATTTGTCAAGGGCCAGAGCGGCAGCCCTGACACTGGCACGGGTGAAGATGAATTTCCATTCAGCGCAGTTTGCCTCCCGACTCCATTAATCCTCAGGGTTCAGATGATGAATTTTTTTTTATTATTTATTTTCCCTGCAGCATCCCCTCCCACTGCCCTGCCAGGGCGCAGACAGAGCCGAACAGATGGCGCTTTGCAGGGAAGCGGGAGCGCCCAGGAGGATACAGAACCTGCCCACTCCGCGGCCACGTGGCCGGCACTGCTCGGAGAAGCCTTGATTTCCTCTGGGAGAGGCAGCAGCGATGATTTCAGTATTCCCAGTGGGTGGGTGGATGGAGAGGAGCTGAGAAGGGGCTGTTCAGCAGGGACAGCGTGCACACAGCCGTGGGTCCTGGCGGGCCGTGCTGCCGCTGGCCTCCACTTAACCCCCGATTAAAGCCGGGGTCAGCGGCGATCGGAAGGAGCCGGGATTTATAACCCCCAGCAGGATGCGGTTTGACACCGACTGTAATCAGGAGAGCTGTCACCACAAGGACAGCTGTCAGGCCATGCTGGCTCATAAAAAGGGATGCAGACACCCTAAAAAGCAGGGGCTGCCTTGCTGATGGGATTTAACCCTTCCCTGAACTCCATGAAACTGTTCATAGGAGCTGTCCTGCCTCTCTGCTGCAATTAACAACTCGATGGTGAAGTGCTGACTGAAATGGGACTGGGAAGTGACAGTGAGCTCCAGTTTTAGGCCAACAGCCACTTGAATCAAACCCAGGCACCCATTTGAGAAGCTGCTTCCAACCTCGGGGTGATTAATGGACAGATCAGCAAGAAAGGGAATGAGGATGTCCTGGGGGCAGTGATGTGCCCCAGGAACAGCTGGGCACCCATGGGAACACCAAGCCCATGTGCCAGTGACTCAGAGAGGATTCCTAAAGATGACAAACAAGGAGTAGAGAGGGGATAATATTCAGGGGGAAGAAAAAGTTTCAACACTTAAACTTTTGGGAAGAAAATTCTGGGAAACTGTCATTATTGAAACATCTGAACTGGCAGGGTGGATCAGAGAAACCATTTCTGAAATAATGTTCATTGTATCAGTTTTGTTTGCTTGTGTTGAACAACCTGCCTCAGTCCCCAGCCAGAGGGATCCACCTGCATGGAAATTAAACTCAGGTGATGCATCCACCTTCTCCTTTCACATAATTTTCCTTTCACATACTGGGCTTGCTTGAAGCAAGTGCTCTTGGATAACTTACACGTGTGCTAAGTTTTTGCACAACCTATTATAATCTACTGTACACCCCTCAGTCCTGGAGTTGGGAAAGCATCTTCCCAGGAGAGAGAAAACCCAAGCTGTGGAATGGCTAAGGAAGAGAAAGAGGCAATGTGGCATTTTAAGTGGTGTCCATCTGCGGACAAAGCTGTGCTAAGCAACAGATTCACCATTCCAGTCACAGTGACAGGAATTTGAAAAATTGAGAATCCTACAGGAAAGGTCCCACAGGGAGAAATGAAATGACACATTTTAGTATCTACAGTCTCGGTTCAGGGGCCCTGGAATCTGGGAGTTCAGCTCCAGGTCCAAATGCTGTGCTTTGGACTGATGTTTGCAAAGCAATTTTGCCATCCTGTTAATGTCCTTGTGGAGAGATCAAGAAGAGAGAGAAAGACACAAACACTTCAGAATGACAAGTATGCTCTTAATTACAGTGACAGGCATCAAGAGAGAGTACAAGATAATAACTGGCTATGTCTTAATTTTGGGAAAAAGATTATGATCCAGATTAAATTGATACTTTTTTTTCCTATTCCCTGCACATCAGCACCGCACACGTCACTTCAGTCTCTTACTTTTCTCATTTGGAGATAGAACAATCTTTCAATTAAATCACGTATCTAATTAGCCTGTAATTGTAGGAGGGACACCAACTGTGACTTGCCTCTGCTGATTTTGGTAGTAGAGAAGCTGCTGCTCTCTCAGCTGTGATCAAACCAGGACACATGAAGGTGGAGGCCACCTTGCTTGTCCCCTTCCTCTGACCTGTTCAAACAGGCACAGACCCTTCCTGAAGGCCAAGGGATTTGGCATCTCCTATCCAGGGTCTGCAGGTGGCACACCAACATCCTGGAGACACAGAGGTGCACAGGGGAACTCTGCATTATTAACTGGGGGGAAAGGAAGGGCTTTAAAGTGACATTTGCAGAGGAGAACGAAGGGAGGGCAGCAAGCTTCTCCCAAGGCTCCTACCCCTGCCATGCTGGGATTTGCTAGTGGAGGGAGCCACTGGTTAATCAAATCCAGTTTCCTTGCTCATTTTTCTCCTGAAATTTGCTTTCTGTGTATAGAACATTTACCCCAGCTGCAAATCCACGCTGCTAAGGAGGAACAGCCAAGCTTAGAGGCAACTTACCATAATGGAGTGCAGTCTGCCCTTCCCCATCCTGAAAAAGAGAGAGACTTGCTTTTAGAGGTATAGGTAACATCGTGGCAATACAAAGAAATCCCAGTTTTAAATAAATAGGAATGAATCACAGCAATGATTTAATTGACTAGACAAACAGCCAGGACACCCAGCTACCTGACAGCTGTGATTTGAATCATCATCCACCATGACTCCCTATTGATGGATAATCAATATCTATCCACCCGTGAGAGTGCGTGGACCACGGCATGACGTGAGTATAATTCAGTTCACACCGTTATCACTTCCAGCACATAAAAATGAAGGATTTCAGTCCTATGGCCTCACTCTGGGAGTCTCACTACTCCTGATGCTTTAGTGCAAGATGTTTGAGTGCAAACCCAGCTTTGGCCAACTACTTGAGAGAAGGGTAAAGCACTGGGATGCTCACACAGCTCAGTGCACTGTGCTCTTCAGCACAAGGGAGCACACAGGGAAAAAAACTCAGTTCCTTCCACCTAAATACATCTTAGGTCCCTGCCTTCAGAATTTAGGTCTACCCCAATACCTAGGTTAAGCTCTGTCAAGTCAGGAAAGGGCACAGTGCTCAGGGATGAGAGCAAGTTGCCAAACTCATCCTTGTGAAACACCTGCAGTGCAAGGGCAAAGCGAACTGTGTGATTTGTAGGTGTTGGCACGCAGCTCCCTGTTTCAGAGAACATTTAAGCCACTGCATCAGCTGCAATGCTTTGGGAAGTGTGTCCCCATCCCAGATTCCTGTGTCCCCTCCCCAGGGCTCTGCCACAGTTGATGCCTCACATCCAGCACTGCAATTCCAGGTAGCTCACCCTGACACAGCCTCACCCTGCCACCAGAACAGGTGAAATAACAGAAGGAAAGAATTACTGGCCCCTTTGCTTTCACTAACCCAACCAGGATTAGCTTCTAATTCAGTTCTTTGCCTCCTTAATTTATTTGCATCTGTCTATGGAGACTTAAGATTTAATTACTATCATCTTTGTGATTAAGGTGCAAATTCTACAGTTTGCTATAGATTCTGGAGCAGGTGAAAAAGAACAGGAAAACAGGTAGAAATTCCACTCATAGCTGGAAGTCTCCTGCTTTCCCAGTGTGTTATTCTGTTTGACATTAAGCTGTGAGCTGAGGAATTAGGAATGACCTGTGTTTTGGGGTGGGAGACACCATACTTTACTCTGGGACACTGCACCAACACGACAACCACGGCAGCAGCAGGGAAAAAAAGCCAGATGTAACAGGCCTAAATAGCCACTTCATATCTTTTCCAAGCAAAGAGGTGGGAGGGTCAGATTTTTCTTTCCAAGTGTCACTATGTTGTTTGAAGACACCTCGTTTCAGGAGCCTATTTCTGCCCAGACTGAGGGGAGCGGAATGCAAATTGGTGTCTTTAGGTGGTACCACAAACCAAAGAACTGAGGGAATCATGGACAGCATCCATTGATTATTCCACACTAATAAGGTAACCAATGTGAGCCAGTGCCCCTGAGCTCTCCTTAAGCACATGCCTGCTCTGAGGAGTGACAGGGCCAGCACTGAGTTCAGCAAAATACGGAGCAGGGCAGGGGAAGGAGAGGTGGGAGTGCTCTGAATGAGTTATTGGAAAGGCAGGATGTCAAATGTCTGGGCTGGGGGATGGGAATCCAGCTCCCCTCTGCATCACCACCTCCAAGACTGCAGCCAACAAAACCCACAGGTGAATGGGACTGGAGCTGTGCAGCAGAAACCCCTTCCCACGGGAATGCTTTGCTGCAGAACTCCCTATTAAAACACACAGGACTGCTCCAGGAATCCTACAGACATTTGTTCCTCTTCCAAGGGCCTGCAGAAAGCACTGCTGTTTCAGCAGCTGGCTGGGGATAACAAGGTTTTTTATTCCTCTTAGATGTACTTCCTGGCATCTGCTGGGCTAAGGAGGGAGCGCAGGTCCTGGCATAGGAAATGCCTCTCTTTAATCCCAGTGTGGTTTTTAAAAAGAACTATTAATCCAATGTTATGCAAACATGGTTTGCACTTTATTTACACTGCGGATTTTCCCCCTGCTTTGAGCCTGCCCAATGGTCAAATGCTATTTGTTACACTTCTCAGATGCCGTGCTGTTTGCTTCTATTTTCCTCTGTGACAAATTTTAATCCAGGTAAATGGAAAAAGCTCCAGTGTGGTCACTCACTAAAGGCCTTGAAAGCCCTCGGGAAGCTGCTGATCTCAATCCCTCTTTGATTTGGCTTTTTGGAGCACCGTGGCTAATTGCAGCCTGATGTACCCGGCTGCTCCAGGTACAGCAACGCTGAGCTTTGGAGCAAAATGGTCACACCTGGAGACTAATCAAAGATGGGCTGTGAAAGTCAGGATTACAGCTCCCTTTGTGGGAATTATGTGAGACAAATATTGCCTGTCAGGCACTGGAAATGTCTGTTTTGTAATCAAACACTGTACAGATGAGTGAAGATGAATTGTAGCTGGCCTTGATGCAAGGGATATTTCCTGACGTGCAACAGAAAGCAGCGGCCTCTTGAGCATCTTAGGTCTTTCTCCTGAGCTGTGTCTGTGTAGGGATGAATGATCCCAAACAATAAATGGTCAGGTACAAGCCTCTGTCCTCAGCCCACTGGCACCAGCCAGGAACAGAGCATCCTCTGCAGCTGGAAGGAACACAGAGATGCTGGCAGTGATCAGATGGATCCTCTCAGCAGATGGACCAAAGAGAAGGTGCTGAGTAAAGAAGCTGATGTTGGTGAGTGGGGAAGAGGAGGTAGGCAGCTCTGGGCCAACACTGAGCCAGGATGCCTCTGAGGAGTGCCCTTTCATGCCTCTGTATCAGCTGGGAAAATGTCACTGTCACGGGTTAAAAAGAAGAAATCTCCTCTGATTCGGTAAACTTCAACATAAAAGAGGGGACAAGCCAGGTTGAGAGCAGCAACACACCTTCTGTAAAGGCTTACAGGGCACTGGTAGGCCCTTGTTCCAGAGCCCTTTCAGCAATTCTCCATCTGTAAAAAGGAGGAGCTAGTGGAAATGGCAGAACCCACACAGGCAGACAGAAAGTGACCAGGAAGGAAAGAAAGACCACGACCACTCAAATGTAGAAGTGCTCAGTCCCAGACATGTTACTGACCAACAACAGATCTGATTCCAAGATTTCCTCTTGCCTCCTAATGCCATTGTGCCATCCCTGGTGGCTTCTCCAGCCTCCTGGCACATCTGTCCGTGTCAGGGTGACAGCTGAGCTGGGAGATGAAAACCCAAACGTCCATGTCTACCAAACCCATCTAAACAAAGATGCTACAAAATCACTGGTACTTCCTACATGCGTGGTCTGTGACAGATGTCACTCAATGAAAATCCAACTACCAGTGGATAACTTATTGGATAACAGGATTTTGTTCTGCTCCTGAGAAATTTAAGCAAGAGAAATGGGAGAAGATGGACCGAGCGCAGATGGACCAACTGTTTTATCTGCTAAGTGCTTCTATGGCTGCTGCACGTGAATTCTGTTTTAGAAGTGATAGGATTATATCGGTGTTGCCATCCCATGTTCATTCCTTGGCAATTCCTGTTCCCTGCTTAACCTCACACAAGTTCTGGACTGAAGGGCAGAGACAAGGAAATGGCTTGGCTAAACCTGCTGAGATGCTGTGCACTCTGTAACACGATTGCTGCTGCTTTGCCATTTCAAGTAGACTTTGACTGGCCAGTGTCTGACCATGGTTTCATGGGACAGTTTTAAAAGCAGTGCTGTATAAACACTGATAGCTCAGAGCTGCTTCATTCGCTCTCCAGGCTGTGTGCAGTGGTGGGGTGGCCTGGAGGGAGACACAGCCTCTTCCTCCATCTCCCCTGTTTTCTTTAGCACCAGCGAAGGAAAGAGGATAAACAAATCCATGCTGGTTACCTGGGTGAGCTTTGGTCCAGCCTGACCCTCTATTGGTGATGAAGCTGGGGCTGGACCCTCCACACCAGCACAAGGGTCTGTAGGGGACCCCACACCTCCTAGAGTGCTGCTTCACACCGAGACCTCACCTTGATGCCTTCAATCACCTCCCCAAGCACAGACACCGTGCATGTGAAAAGCACAGCAGCAAAGCTCTACACTAGCCCTGCCCTTTGAGGGGTACCACGTGTGCTCTTTATTTTCAGGTATTTTTTTCCCCCTATCACCTCTGCTTTCTGCTCATTTGTGGCACCTTTTAAGGTGCTCGGCTTGTTCCCATTGACAGACTCCAAATGCTGGCAGGGATCGCAGGAGATAAGAACGATGAGGTGATAAGAGTGTTTAACAGCACTGGGTCCTGGGCAGCACGATGGGCAAGAGGGAAGATAAATATTTACACTACATCTTTAGAAGGCGAGAGAATAAAAAGGGCTGGAATAATACAGACCCTGAACAAGCACTGGTGCTTAGGAGCTGTAATATAAATCTCTGCAGCCTCACGACACACACTCACTCAAGCCCCGGAGATGAAAAATAGCAAGAAAACACTTCCCTCCACTTTTATAAAGGGTTTTATTTCTCATTTGTTTCTACTTTAGACTTCAACTTCCCAACAACTTACATTAACTTCATTGTCATATTATTCTCTCTGAAATTTTCTCTCCAAGAAGACAGAGGGTAAGGCTACAGCTCAACACACCAGAATTTACATGCTCATACCCTTCAATACTAAAACCAGGCAATGGGGGCTAATATAACCAGTCTGAACTCCACCAGATGATTCTGCAGGAGACATCCCCGTGTGCATCCTTGGCTCCAGCTCCAAGGCAGCTCAGGCACTCCCCAAGGACCAACACCATGGGACAAAGGATAGAGAGCAACTTCTGCTAGAGGCAAAACCAAAGAGCACAAACTGGTCATGAACAGCTGTTTTTTAGGGATTGCAAATAACCCAAGCTGACAAGTGCAGGGCATCCTCTTAAGTTCGGTTCCTCAATTAACTCTCACCTCCCCTGTGTGCAGGTTTGGCAGGGATCCCTTTCTCACCGAGCTGTCCCTCTCCAAGAGTTCTC